AAATCAGCGGGTTAAATTAAACCGACACCCTATTAAAATATCACACGTGGTTATGTGAAAGTATGCTTGCTACCGATGGAAGGTCGGTTTTGCTCAACTTTCATGATTATGGGTCACTTGTGGTACCGCTCTTTTCATGAAGTTAATGGGAGGATGTGATGAATTGATTTCTTTTCCATGTCATCAGTCAGGAGTGCCTCTTTTTAAAGACAGACTGTACAGCTACGTGGCGGACATAATGTAAGGTCTTCTGTTTCTTTCACAAACAGTGGTATTCGTTTATAAACAGCCGAGAAAATGGAGAAAGACGGATGACCCTAAACAGAGCTCAAACCTGAGACCTCTCGGTTCTAAGCGCGATGCGCTACCAACCGAGCAACGCGGTTTTGAAGAAGCATGTGGTGAATTCCATGGTCAAGAAAATTCGTGGTAAAGACAAATATTACCCCCTGTTGGGATCGAATTGGGCACCTGCGCAGTTTGAAGTTTATCTCTTACGGACTATACTCACAACCCCACTGAACAGTAAGAACATAAAGCCGAAGCATACAACAAAGAGAAAATGTTCAACTTACGACGGTAAAAGGCTTGATAAAAGCTTGCAAAGATTCTCGCAGTTTCTTTTCGTGGGACAAAATATCAGACATGAAGCTGTGGGAACCACGTCGCATACAAGACCTAATATGTTGTCAGGGTCATTGAAGCGTTTCGTCTAAAATCTTGCCATTTTTGAGAAACAGAAGTAAAATCCGTCAAACACGATACGTCCTCATACTATCGAAAGTAAAGAAAGAAAAGTATTAACTTATTGGTACGAAAAGAAGTACAGATTCGTAGCCTGTTATAATATCAGTTAACAGCCCTCAGTTCGCGATCCACGATTCAAAGCAACGATTGAAATGGATGACGTAAAATACTTTCGATCTTATACTCCGCAGCATCCTCATTAGAGCAATCGTGTGCAAATTAAACCTCATGATATTATGCTATTTGTTTTAAAATTTCAGTGACATCCACTTGTCGCTGATAAACGCATGATAACAACAGGAAGTGAACAAATACCTAGCGATAAGACCGTACGGTACTAGGGTATCATCCTGAATAACAACATAAGCTGGAAAGATCATGTTACTGCTGTGTTCTCGAAGGTATGGAGAGGATCATTCTATTTAATGCGAATGCTTAGATTTCAGATCTTTCTTTTGAGTGAAGCAATGTGTCTCTTTGTTTTCGGCTCTTTAATGTCAATCATCGCCTAGCGGGCCTCATTTCCCATATGATCACAGTTTCTACTTATTAGCCGAATCGCGAAATTGTCGTATGTGTGGCCACGCCGCTTAAGCAATCGTTTTTATATTGCAATGCGCATCCACTCAATGTGAAGTAGCTGAGTGTCGATCCTCGCATCGAAGAAGAAGAAATGCCTACAAAGCGATACTCGCAAGAATTGAGCTGTGCCGATGTTCAATCCAACTATTTCTTTCACGAGTTCTGAGGGATCCAAAAGGACAGAAAACACTCCTTTGAATAATTATTATGTCCAGACTTAAGCAACTATTTTCTGTTGCGTATATCTCTTCCATATGTTTGAAGAAGGTTAATATTGTTAAGAACTACAATGCACAAGCTAATTAAACCGTTAAATGACTGGTTGACAGGATCGTTTGTTCCATTAATTTTTTCCCAGAACCTGATCGATAATATTAAAAATGTCACTCGAGTTATACGAGCTCCTGCATTCCAAGACAATCGACTTTTGCTATCCAAAATGTGTAACGATTCTTTAATTAATAGCCAGAAGTCTGTTCCCTCGTTATTAACTGAAGTGAAATTCGTAAAGCTATAAGTGTCCCCAACCAAAGTCATTGGAAACGATTCCAGAATGCTCTGTTTTCCCATTCCTCATAACTACTGGAGGTTCATGCAATTATTTCATGATTTTCTCGACGTAGATATCGCAGCCAGTGCATCTGATCTTATAAACCAGGT